TTGGCCTAGGGGGGGATTTTATAGGGATTTTAAAGGGATTTTATAATTTTTCTAATACAGGTTAATTAATATATATTTTAATTTGGCTTTTAAATATTTATTGTATAGCTCTGTTTTTATTTACCTGTAAGCCGCCCTGAGTCCCTCGGGAGAAGGGCGGGGTATAAATTAAAGTAATAATAATAATAATAATAATCCCCTGCAGGGATGAGATTGACTTCAATTAACAGTTCAGGTCAACAGGAAAGACTATTTTGGAAGGCAACTGGTCAGATATATTTATTTTAGACTTAGATGAAGTCTCTCTTTCTTCTGTTGACTCTCAGAATATATTCTCACCCATTTCCTCTTTCATTCCAGGTGACTACTGGACTCCTTACAAAAAGTTTCCAGCATGTACACTGGCACAAGCTTTGATGCATTTCCTTGATGTAACCTCTCCTCCTTCCCAGCAGTTGCTAAGATCTTTTTCCCAGCTGGCAAAAGATGAAAATGAGAAGGAAAGGCTGAATCTCTTGTGTCATGTGAGTTTGGGAACAGTTACGGGCAGGGAGAAAAAATATTACTTGTAGAGCATGTCTCTGTTTCACCTGCTAGCTCTTGGTCAACCATGGTTGATCTCCAAAAGTTAGGCAAGGTTGGACTCAGTGCTAATACCAGTTTACAATGCCTTGGTAAGACCACACTTGGAATATTGCATCCAGTTTTGGTCACCATGATATAAAAAAGATGTTGAGATTCTAGAAAGAATACAGAGAAGAGCAACAAAGATGAATAGAGAGCTGAAGGTTAAAACATATAAAGAACGGTTGCTGGAATTGGGTATGTCCAGTTTAATGAAGAGAAGGACTAGGGGTGGCATGATAGCAGTGCTCCAATATCTGAGGGGCTGCCACAAAGAAGAGGGGGTCAAGCTATTCTCCAAAGCACCTGAAGACAAGACAAGAAGCAATGGATGGAAACCAATCAAGGAGAGAACCAACCTAGAACTAAGGAGAAATTTCCTGACAGTGAGAACAATTAATAATCAATAGAACGACTTTCCTCCAGAAGCTGTGGGTGCTCCAACACTGGAGGTTTTTAAAAAAAAGATTGGACGACAATTTGTCTGAAATAGTATAGAATTTTTTGCTTGATCAGGGGTTGGACTAGATAGAAGACCTCCAATGTCCCTTCCAACTCTGTTATTCTGTTAGTGCTTGGGTGGGAGACCATCAGGAGATTTCATGGCTGTAGACCATACTGAGAAGCTGAAAACATTCCAATAGCAGATCACTTTTGTCCTGCTACTAAAAAAGCTACATTGACATGTCTGTATAGTCACCTGTATAGTCACTCAAGAGGGGCTTTAATATAGCTACAGTAGTGCAACCCCAGTGAACTGATTCGGGATCGGTAACATAATAACTTTGTTTAGGATAGCACATTTTCATCTCTGGCTTTGAGTCAAACTGATGCCTACTGTAGTTATTTCTATGCTCATTTCCAGTTTTATATTTATGTTATCCAATTTTATAGGATGCCATTATTTCTACGACAAGCTGCACCTCCATTTCGGAGGAGATATAAATATAAATCAATGCATAAACACCAGGTACCGGAATGTCTATATGTTTGCTTTTCACTGTAGAATTTGGAGGAATACAACAAGTGGAAATTTTACAACAGCCCTACTATCTTGGAAGTCCTGGAGGAATTCTCATCCATCAGGATCTCAACATCCTTTTTACTCTCTCAGCTGCCTTTACTCAAGCCCAGATATTACTCGATCAGTTCTTCGCAGGATTGGGAGCCCCAGGGATTACATTTGACTGTGGCAGTGGTGACCTATAGATCTAGAAGTAAGTGGGTTTTCTGTTCTGAAACTCCATTGGCCCTGTGTTTGCGCTGATTCTTCATTAAATGTGAGAGCTGCTTTGGTCTAGTGCAGCGGTTCTCAACCTATGGGTCGCGACCCCATTTGGGGTCGATCGACCATTTCACGGGGGTCGCCAAGCAAGGCTGTCCACCATTTTTTTTCCCCTTTTCCAGCAGGTGCCTTACCTCCCTTGGGCTGGGCCAGCTGGTGGTCGGCCTGCTCCGTCTCTGCCGCTTGCCAGCTACGCCTCGGCCAGCGCAGGGGGCGGAACCACGCATGCGCGGCGCTCCCGGGCAGGGAAAGTCCTCGACTTACGACCGGTTGGGTAGTCCTCGACCTACGACCGGTTTAGTCCTCGACTTACGACCGGTTTAGTCCTCAACTTACAACCGGTTTAGTCCTCGACTTACAATTGGTTGAGGGTCGCGGCATTAAAAAGGTTGAGAACCACTGGTCTAGTGTGGTTAAAGCACCAGGCTAGGAATTAGGAGACCGAGAGTTCTAGTCCCACCTTAGGCATGAAAACCGGCTGGGTGACCTTGGACCAGTTATTTTTTTCTCCACCCAGCCCACCTCACAGAATTGTTATTGTGAAGAAAAATAAGAGGAGGAAGGAGTATTAGCTATGTTCATCATCTCAAGTTATTTAAAAATAATAAAGCAGAATAAAAAAAAATTAAAAACTTGCTTTTGAACAGCTCAACAAATATTAACATCCCAAGATTATATCCTCTTTCCTTTCTTGGAGGTGGCAAAAAGTTCCTGCAACTTTTTATCGTCTCCAAGAAAGAAGAGTAAATACAGGTGGTCCGACCACAGTTGAGCCCAAAATTTTTGTTGCTATGCGAGACAATTGTTGAATTTTGCCCCATTTTACGACCTTTCTTGCCACAGTTGTTAGGTGAATCACTGCAGCTATTAAGGTGGTAACCTGGTTGTTAAGTGAATCTTCCTCATTGACTTTGCTTGTAAGAAGGTCTCAAAAGGTGATCACATGACCCTGGGAGACTGCAACCATGATAAATATGAGTTGCCAAGCATCTAAATTTGGATCACATGACCATGGGGATGCTAAAATGGTTGTGTGAAAAATGGTCACAAGTCACTTTTTTCAGTGCCGTTGTAACTTTGAATGTGCACTAAATGAACTGATGTAAGTTGAGGACTACTTGTACCCTGAATCCTTGGGAGTCTTCTCCAAAAGGAAAGTTCAAAAGGATTAATACTCTTCTTATCCTCTGAGTAGGGCCTGCTAAAATCACCATACAGCAAAGTCTGTCTACTCTCCTATAACCTTTCTTGCGATTTCAGTTCAACCTTCTCAAAATACTTCACAAAAACATCATATGTGTGGTCTTTTTTCTCCCCTTTTCTTCTCAGATGGAAAAGGTCCAGTGCACCATGGGGTTTGCAGTACTTGGCTGAACACGATGGACCTGAAAAAAACAATGCCCTGTTTTATTCGCAGGTAAAGTTGCAGATGAAAAGTAGCTGGTAATAAAAACTTGAGTTCTCAGACTGAAAAATACCTAAATGGTATCTTATGAAATACAGGTTGATTCTGTTAGGGGTGTAAAGCATATGGACTAATTTCTGAAAAGCCTATGAATTAATTTCTGTAAAGCATATGGACTAATTTCTGTGCTGTTCAAAGACCTGTAAATAGAAATTAAGATAAGGGGATGGGCTGCATCTTAGCCTTTTCTCTAAGTGAGAAGGAAAAGAAAGATAAAAGCAGACCAACGAGGCCTAAACATTTCCAGTTGGCATAGGTAGTATCTATTTCAATGTACAGGTAATCTTCACTTATCAACTGCCACATTTAGCACCCATTTGAAGTTGTAAAAAAATGAAGGTGTAAAAGAACAGCTTTATCACCTCCTCACATTTACAACTGTCACATTGTACCGTGGTCACATAATAATAATAATAAAGTTGGAAGGGACCTTGGAGGTCATCTAGTCCAACCCCCTGCTCAGGCAGGAAACCCTATACCATTTCAGACAAATGGCTGTCCAGTCTCTTCTTAAAAACTTCCAGTGTTGGAGCATTCACAGCTTCTGGAGGCAGGTTGTTCCACTGGTTAATTGTTCTGTCAGGAAGTTTCTCCTTAGTT